GTTGAGTTTACTTGCCCTTAAAAGTAGTGTAAAATTATTGTCCCAATCAGAGGATATGTAAGACCAGGTCATTTAAAGTATTTTGTATATTTACCACAGAATACTTGTTTGTTTTAATCAACAATCGCGAAGGAATACAGAGGTACCGCATGACTCCATGGTCCCTAGTTTGGTGGTCTTACTTAGTCAGCTGGTGATCTATAGCCTGTTAATATAATCTATCGTTACGTATAGTTATATTTCTTTATGGTCACATTCTAGTTTTAAAAAAACAAATATGTGATAATCTAGTTGTCTTACTGTCCATTGTCGAGAAGTGTTATATAGCCTAACTGTATTTATAATAATTGTGTAACTTGTGCTAGTCACTTTACGTCTGAAATTTTGCCGACTCACTCAAGACATATTTTTATATGCTGTAATTGTTGAACATGTACAAGCAGAACTAACGTGACACATTATGGCTGAAATAGTGCCTCACTCACTCACTCATGAGCCCCCAAGTTGATTGCACTTGACACATCGTCTGTTTACTAGATATAGATACCTCCACGCCTATGTTAAAGTAACCAGCTTCAATTCATTTTTGAAGATTTGAAATGTTAAAAGGTAAACACGTATGCATTTTTAAAATTTATGTTTAATTATATTGTTTCTTAGTGAAACGCTTAACAGAGGTAAATCCTTGGGCTTTCAATGTTGCAGCAATTTCTTATTCTGTCATGTCAGACGCTTTGTTCGATCTCGAACGATTCCTCGACAAGAGTTTGATAGATTGATAGATTGCTGTCTGTGTACATTCGACGATATGTGAACCATTTCGGGGAGAGGTGTTACATATTTCACTTCTCCGCAGGAACCCCGAATGCCCTTGGAGACAACCAAGAGTAAAGTGGGTGTTGATATTCATCAGGTGATATTACAAAGATCCTCTGCCAAGAATTTGCAACATCCGAAGAGATCTGTTCATCAGATGACAGCGAGTCCACATGGACGTTATTAGATCTTCGATGAACCAGAATTTTGGTTTAGGAAAATATTGGTATAACACTATTCAGGACCTCTCATCCCCATCTGCCGTCGAGTATCAACAACTGGTTTGTTTGTTTATTTGTTGTTTAACGCCGCAGTAACCAAAATCCAGCTACATGTATATGACGGCGGTCTGAAAATAATCGAGTCTGTACCAGACAGTCGAGTGGTTGACATCATGAGCATTGATCAACGCAATTGAGATACAATGAATGCATCAACCAAGTCAGCGAGCCTAACCAACCGCTCCCGTTAGTCGCCTCTTACGACAAGCATAGGTTGCTGAAGACCTATTCTAACCCAGATCTTCACGGGTCCAAAAACAATTTTAACGGTCAAATATACAGTGATAAAGTGCTAAGGCTATGCGAGAGTCCCACCCTTGTTGTTTATACATGGTGTAGTTCTGTATCCCAACACTAGTATTTATCAGGGTCTTAACTGTTGATCTTTCGACACCTGCCAATCAACACTCACGATTGACCAATCATAAAGTGAGACTTGATGGCAGCAATAGAACCTGTAAAGGTAGGTAAAGAGCATTGAAGGCGAAAAGAGAAGACACAATCTTTTAAGATTTTGATCTTTATTTTGCTTCAGTGATATTGTTACAAAAAGAATAGTTTATGTATGTGTTGTGCTATTTACACAATAGTTGATCAAACATGATCAACAGCAATTCCACTGTCACGTAACTCCACCTAATGACCCATACATCCCAATCACTCGCTACACTACTTTTATTGCATATTTGCTGTTTAATATTTACCATATCCAGATGGTGTTAAACAAAGTTCTTTTTATTTTTAATTAGCTAATGTAACGCAACTAAATTAACCTTTGTAAAAACTGTCAGCCATAGATGGCAATGAGTACTGAAGACGTCTCTGATTTAGGCTACTATCATTCAGGATTTAAACACCGAACACGTTAGCGTCTTAAATTTGAATACACAACAGAATCGGTTCCAATCTACCACAGGGAAACATCAATTATTGAAATCAGATCTTGTCGTCGGGGATGACATTCATTACTCATCAAATATAAAAGTTAAATCTTTAACTCATGCTAGTTACACCGTAACTAATGAAGCACAAGTAACATGGCATATCAGTACCCATCTTCCCGAGGCAAGGGAGTTAACTGACTACAAACGTCCAGTTCCCACCCTTCCTGAACTAGGCTGGAATGTCCAGGCTCCATCGTAGCGCCACCAGTGGCTATGACGAGTTATGTCCCTTCTATGTCCCTCCTATTGACCAAACAGAGTCCATCACTCATATCACTTGCATTTGCTATAAACAAAATGGCGGCGCCCAGTCAAAACGATCTGATCGATAATCAAGATCTATATTGTCATAAAGCGGGTCTTACGCCGCGAAGTTATGCACCTTGATTAAAAACATGAACAGATTTGCAAAATATCTGTCGATGTCCAATTGGCAGTTCACATGCTTTACAAATCATGCAGTCGACCGAAATCCATGTAGTTTGTTACGCGATTTTGATTGGACTATATGTATAGACTCGTTAGTCCAGCCGAGATGTAACTCCGTAATACCAGCCTAGTTCGGCAAGGGTGGAAACTGGACTTTTATAGCCAGCTAACGCTCTCGCCTCGGGAAGATGATCTATACTTGACAAAAAAAACAGTGTGATATTGCTAAAGAAATATCCATGGAAGCACATAAAAGCAAATCCTTTTACGTGAAAATATATTTTCAAATGCCGAATATGTACAACTAAACCCCACACATGGTAACAGAGCATTGGTAAATTCAATACGTCAGTCCCAACATCTTAAATATATGCTGAACCAGATTCCATGATGAAAATTAAAGTGATGACCTTAGCAAGATGAGCATAGTTACACGAATAATCCTTCAACAAATCATGTGGTATTTGTTCTATAAGAAAGATTCCTAATCTTGAATTATTTTGTTTGTTTACAATGTTTTGAATCCAAAGACGTAAATAGTGAAAGACTATGGGTCAAATTGAAAAAAAAAATATCATAATATTTATTGTTTGATTTACACGTGACAATACTTGTAGTTTCACAATTGTGTTTTGCCAATCCATTAAATGAGTTTTCAGCAAAGGAAAAATTGAAAGCCCGTGAGTCTCTAAATTCCCTCTGGCTAACCCAAGGAAGTCAAATCTAAAATTCGAGTTGTCATAAAAAAACCTCCCTTGTGTGAGTATGAAACCATGAAAACAGCATTTTAAATTCGTTAATACTGTTGACCGAGACTCGTAGCAGTGAGGATAACACAACACTTAAAAATCCACAAATTTACAGTCCTGGGTATGTTTCTTTTGCCTTTTTCATCTTAAAAATGGGACGCATTTATATATTTTTTAAGTATATTAAAGAAGAGTATGTAAAGAAAATGGGTACTTCGTATAGTGGGAATATTTAAATTGATGGGATTCGGTAGTATATTTTTGTTCAGATGGGAATGGAACGTAATATCAAATTACAGCTTATTTTTGACAAATCATTCAGCGTCTTGGAGCGCAATGTCCCAACTATTTACAGACATGGGCATGAATAGCGCGAGAGCTGGTGATGGATGGCTCCCCAAGGTTTCAGTACGACACATTAATACTCGCAATTTCTCAACACTTGATAAGGAAGGTAAATAAATTAACAAAAGCTTGATATGATAATGAGAATAACATTTAAAACGTGTTCAGAAAGTATTTTTAGTGATATGGCAAGAACTGGTGCTGGAAAAATGTTCATCCAATATCTACATGCAGGCACTACTTCCGAAACAAGGGGGCGGTCGGGTAGCCTAGTGGTGAAAGCGTTCGCTCGTCACGCCGAAGACCCGTGTTCGATTCCCGACATGGGTACAATGTGTGAAGCCCATTTCTGGTGTCCCCCGCCGTGATATTGCTGGAATATTGCTAAAAGCGGCGTAAAACACTACTCACTCACTCCGAAACAAGGACTACGATCTTTTTGTCCGCTTTCCGGACAGACACTCTATCCACTAGAACGCTGAGGCGGTCTGATATATTTCGGGGAAGATAAAAGAAAAGAAAGAATACTGGTTAACGTTTTTCGCAGGTATAGCTCTGACGTTGGACCGGGACTTGTTGTTATTCTTGGTTAAAGGATCTTCCAACACCAAACACAAAATTCCACAACTGTAGAATTACTTTTGAATTTTAACAACATACATTTTAACCCTGATATGGCCAGTTTCTATATTTTCGAACCAAAATGCACACATTAATGTAGCTGAAAATGGAAGGATGTCATTTTTCGACTTCAATGAGAAATGCCACTTAATACCCGCTTTAATCAATACATTCAAAGTAACACTTTTTTTCAATTTCATTAAAATCAGATCTTAGCATCCCATTAGGGATCACGTCAGAACGACCTTTCATCCGACCAATCAGAGCGTCGCTTACGAGATCATGAAAGTGACAGTCATGTGATTTCTAATCATGCAGCCTCGAAAACGTTAAAACAGGGTATTCCGAACGATAGTTACTGGCTTAACGACTGAATCTATACAATCTAGACCATATATTAGCCATTCTAGAACGTTCTTTTGTTCAGGTTTCAAATTTTTCAGCGAGAATTTGTCAAAATATGTTTCGAAGCGTAGTCGCTAATTTGAAATTAGTGCCGTAAAGCACGAGAAAGCTGCCTTCTGATTGGCTAATGTCGACTTCTTGTTAGTAATTCCATTGGTCGCTCAGAGTTTGCGAAAGGTCGGTCTGACGTGACCCGTAATTGGATGTCCTCAGATCTTTGTTCAGCGGCAGCGAGAACTAAGATCTGATTTTAATGAGATTGCATTTTTTTTCACTACTCTTTGTTTTTATTTTTATTTCTCTGTTTTTATATCACTAACCACGTGATATTCTGTCACAAAAATATGCTCCAGGCTTTGTCTGCCACACAAACATAAATAAAACATATTTTTTTAATATTTAGGCTCAAAGTTTTACTTTACAAAATATATGATTTTGAAAACAAAAATACAAAAAAACAACCAACTCCACCCACACAACCCACACCACGTTCCAGAATATCAAATGGTCGGTCACTAACAGATACGTCTGAAACAGGTTGTTGCAATTTTAGTTTGGGAGTTTTGAAAAGAAATCCGTTACCCAAGTAACAAACATATCTTACTTTATGGTGAGAGGCTACAGTTATTCGGTACAGCAATCTCACACAGCCCCGTGTAAAGGTCTCCGCATTTTACTCTTAGCCATTTCTTTGTAGCATCACTAAACGTCACACAGCTGAAGGTTCCCTGAGGCTCGGACCAGTAGAAGAAGTCGGGCGGCGCGGTGTCTTTGTGCCACTTCCAGTCTGTTTTGAAGGTGAGTCCGATCCACATGTCTTTCCCTTTGAGAAGAGGATGGTGATATGTTTACATGATATTCAACCCAGAGTGAGTGAGTGGTTATTGCTTAACGCCGCTTCAACACTCTTGCAGCTATTCGCCGCGAGTCACTCTAGTTCATATTCAACTTAGCGTGGGTTTAACGCCGCTTTTAACAGTATTCCAGTTATATCACGGCGTGTCAGCTTAATGTGGGAGGAAAGCCCGAAGTGATGCAGGTCTCAGACGTTTACCATTTTGGTGAAACCAACGAGCACTAGTATGGTGCTGACAAACCTAGAAACATAATCCGTGCGAACCGGGATTAAAACTCCCACAATCATCTATATAGGATTCTGGCGTGCTCAAGGGACGCAACTCTGCCTAGCGAATCGCGGCGCCTTAGACGACTGGGCCACCCGTGCCCCCTGTAAGAGTATTAATGAATTGTATGCTGACAATATATTCATTATTAATTACATGAATTTTATAAATATTGGAAATGTTATGTCAATGTAGATAAAACTAAGATACCAAGGAAGAACAGTAATGTTCTTATGAATTGAGGTTCTAGATCATTATAAACATTTGTAATAAGAACTATTCAGCGGAACGAATATGCCTTTTGATACATCGATACAAGACGCAAAATAACAAACAAAGAAACCAGCCAAAAACAGGTAAAATCCAAGCGCAAAACATCAAGCATCAATTATGACGAACATAAAAACTCCAAAACAAAAATAACAAACGTAAGTTAAATATATACTAATCAATGGTATAAATATAAGAACAAATGATCTTCCATTTAATTGAGCAGAAATTCAGTATAAAAATATGTAAAAACCAATAATTCCAATAACAATGTCTTGCTAAATATACTATCGGGCAAATACAGTAGGCACTTGAAAACTGGATGTGACCAAAGCGTTTCAAATGTCACTGGGTTGAAAGTAGTCGCCGAAACGCTGTAAACTTAGGCCCAAAGCACAGCTGTGATAGCCATATCAAATACTTCCCCATCGAATAACAATTTCGTGTTTGTTTCATTTTTAGCCACTATCAAACGTGGGTGTATACTTTATTTTTCCCCCAGTTTTCTATCTCATAAATATCATCATGACATTGTCCGCATTACCACTGGTGGTTGAAAGGAAAACAGGATCAGTGTCCACAGTATGGACGCATTTTGCATTCGTCAACACTCGTCCCTTTCCGGAACCTGCAAGAAGACTCGTCCCCCTATCGATGACTGTTATGTGCGAAAATACGACAAACCAATCAGAATGCGCGTATGATTTCAAGTTCTTCGTCAAATAATCCCTCAGAAATATTTTTTTTGATTTTACATATGTCTTACATCTAAAAATATATCAAAGACACAGTTAAATGTGTTCAATCATACTGTAAAATTCCGCATGTCCCGATGTGCTTTAAATTGCATCTGAAATATATATAATTAAGGGGAAATGTAAGTGAACCATTACGCACATAGTTGACAGTTGTTTTAGGTATGCCCGTTTGCGCTAAGACGGAACCCGGTCGCAAAAATGGTCATGAGCGGGGCACGAGTCGCTATTCGGCTTGTCCCGGAATAACATGAGTTGGTCACGAATGCGCATTTACGTGCATATAACATTATTCGGAACAGACGTCAAGTCAGAATATACCACTCAAAGAAAGTTAAAGAAAGCTTGATTTTTTAAAAAAAAATTTGTGTGTGTGTGGGGGGGTCGTTTTCATTACCCATAGTCATATGAGTTGGGTTTAACGCCGCTTTGAACAGTATTCCAGTTATTTCACGGAGTGTCAGCTTAGTGTTTGAGGAAAGCCCGAAGTGATGCAGGTCTCAGACGTTTACCATTTTGGTGAAACATACGTAACATAATCGGGGCGAACTGGGATTCGAACTCAAGATAAAAAATCAAAGGTTTCTTCAGTGCCCAAGGGACGCAACTCTGCACAGCGAATTGCGGCGCTTGAGACGACTTGGCCATCCGTGCACCCATAGTCCTATGAAATTTACGAATGTTTTTTAACTTCTTCTTTTATAGTCATGTCAGATTAAGTATTACATAGGAACAAATCGGGAGTTCTTTAATTTTTTGTTTTTCACATGACAGCTAACTATACAAATAAGTACAAATCGGATGTCCTTGAACTTCTTCATCCTTCCGATGTAAGCGTGCCCACTAGCCTATATCAAAGCCTAGTTTCTACCCTTGCCACATCAAGGCCACTTTTCTTGGCTCGACCCTGGCGCCACCTCGCGTAGATCACGAGTTATGCCCCTTGTAATGAAAACGCGATATCCAATCAGATCGCTGTTCTTATCTCGCATAGCTTCACAAAGATTGCGACTACTTAGTCAGTCAGATTAAGAAACCATTCGCGATTTCATTCATGGCACAAAACAGAAGTAATCGCTAGGGTGTTAAAAGATGAAAAAGACATATTCGTGTCAACATGAACAGGCAGCGGTAAATCACTTCCATACAAAGGTGTACCAGTCGTGGATGTTGATTTTGTGAAACGTTCTCTGATTGGACAATCGATATGTGCGATAGTCCAATCATATTTCGCACGGGAAAGTGGACTTGATGGCAAGGATGGAAACAAGACTTCGATAAAAAGGCTAGTGACCGCTCTTGCCTCGGGAAGATGGAACTACTTTTGAGTAGTATATTTTCCCATTCGTGACCAACTCGTGTTATTCCGGGACAAGCCGAATAGCGACTCGTGCCCCTCTCATGGCCATTTTTGCGACTGGGTTCCGTCTTAGCGCAAACGGGCATACCTAAAACAATTGTCAACTCGTTGCGTAATGGTTCAAATATATTTCCCCATATATTATATATATTTCAGATGCAATTTAAAGCAGATCGGGACGTACGGAATTATACAGTATGATTGAACACATTTAACTGTGTCTTGGGTATATTTTTAGATGCAAGACATATGTAAAATCTAAAACTATTTATGAGGGATTATTTGACAAAGAACTCGAAATCATACGCCCATTCTGATTGGTTTGTCGTATTTTCGCACAAACAGTCATCGATAGGGGGACGAGTCTTCTTGCAGGTTACGGAAAGGGGCGAGTGGTGACGAATGATATTTTCCTTCATACCGTACCTCTCCGTTTGACTACAGTATACGCTATGTCATTCTCCTCCGCCGTATGTATGTTATACAGTCTGCCCCCGGCAGTCACACAAACTTGTTTAATTTCACTGTTCTTCTTCAGAGTGTTGTGGAAATAAAAACATTTATTCGTTGGTTTGTGGTACACCCATCCTGCTGGACAATCAGCTGAAAAGAGAAGCATGCATTCAACGATTCATTCATGTTTTGCTAATGTTGCCTGGCAACCTTTAACGTTACAGGTACACAGTGAGATGCTTTCCGCAAGTTATGTTTGATTGTTTGTTTGTTGTTAAACGCCACACTCAGCAATATTCCAGCTATATGACGGCGGTCTGTAAATAATCCAGTCTGGACCAGACAATCCAGTGACTGACATCATGAGCATGGTGTAACAACACACCCAATAAGTGCGTTTATGAAAGTCCAAAGGGACGCATCTCTTACACTTTACCACGTTGGAAAAAGCAACGCATAGATGAATGATGCTGACAAACTCAGCATAAACACAAGGACGAATCTGGAATTCGAACTCACGGTCGCACAGGAAGCGGGCGTTATGGAACGAATTTTTTCACAACGATTTGTTGCCCCATGGATCTCCTTCGCCCGTCGTACTGGGATTACTGCACTTATATAGCGACATGCATGTGTGTGTGTGTGTGTGTGTGTGTGTGTGTGTGTGTGTGTGTGTGTGTGTGTGTGTGTGTGTGTGTGTGTGTGTGTGTGTCCGGACTGATGCCGATTTAAAGTGCTAGCCCACTGAGATACCATGCCGCAGTTTAACATGAATACCCAACTCAGCTACAAGGGCGGTCGGTAGCCTAGTGATTAAAGCATTCGCTCGTCACGCTGAAGACCTTGGTTCGATTCCCGACATGGGTACAATGTGTGAAGCCCATTTCTGGTGTCATCCGCCGTGACATTGCTGGCGTAAAACAATACCCACTCAGACACAGTATACTGACACCGAGCCGACCAGTCCTTCTTTTAGACCCTTAATGCCGAGCGCCAGGCAGGGTAACAACAAGTTCAATCTATTAATGTCTTTTGGTATGACGCGCCTGGGTATCGAACCCCGGACCTCCAACCCTCCGGGCGGACGCTCTACCACTAGACCACGGAGGGTCAATACATGTTATACCCTGTGAGGTCATGTTTTTAAGCGGCGTGACCGAGGCTAGTTTAGACTCTGAGTAACTGGTAAACAATAGTTGACAACATCTTAATGTGCACCCGAACTGCCTTCAAGAATGACGGGTTATGTATTGGAGAAAACACGCTTACGAGGTTTTAGTAGACAGAGCATGCCCTGGGGAGAGGAAAAAACCAAGGGGGCGAAGTCTACCAAAACCGAGGGAAAGTGTTTCTTCATACTTATAAACCGAAAAAAGAAACTTAAAACAACATTTATCAACATTTTTATGTTTCGAACATACTTTCGATGAACCTTAGGAAACGCGCGTAAAATAGCTGTTGCTGGTGTACGGATCTTGAAAAGGACATTCTAAAAACCAGTGAGGCTTATCAACATCTCTGTAGCCTCGTGGTACACTCACGGGGCTACAGGTATGAAGGTTGCGAGTACGATCCTCGGGAATATAAAGAAAACATTTGATTTTACATTTCATTACATGTTACAATCTGAACGGAAGTTACATTTATAAAATACCCAGGACATTATATAAATCCCTGGGATATTATAGCAAATATGACTTGAATATCCTATAAAATCACAGGGATATGATAAAAAATCCCAGGGACATTACAACGTCCCTGTTTATAAGATTTAACCCGACTTGAAAGTAAAACCTCACAATAGGTTTTAATGCCTATAGAAAGAAGTCTCTTACTTAATAGCATCCCAATGAATAGTTTATAAGATTGTAAGATATTGCAACAATATCACGACGGGGGACACCAGAGATGGGCTTTCCACATTGCACCCATATGGGGAAGCGAACCGAGGTTTTCGGTGTGTTGAGAGAGCGCATTAACCACTTGGCTAAACCACCGCCTCACCGCTTAAATCTCTACACATCGTGACTAACTTACCTCTATGGAATATCAAATAAGAAACTTCAGGTTTGGTTGTTAGGCCGGCTACTTGGGCATCAAACCAGGTGTTACTCTGGTAGCACAACTTAAGGCTGCGGTCATAGAACACTGACGCGCATGTCCGGTTGTAGTAGCAGGTGTTAACACAGTGGCCAGCTGAGAACGAGGCTTCAGGGTGAAGGTCAGTTGAAAGAAGGCCTTGGAACAGTATCCTCACATACAAAACAGTTTCCATGATGAAGCGAGATTCTCTTGTGGCATTGACGTATCAATATGGCCTGAAAATGTTAAAACAAACTGTCAAGATGAAAGTTAGTCAATAGTCATTAATATTTGAAATACACATTTGCATATTCGACCAATTCGCAGACAGTGGGTCGATCGAAAATATATTGATTTTTTACGAATATCGCAAGGGGAAGAGTGCAATCTCATTAAAATTAGATCTTAGTTCTTGCTATCGCTAAACAAAGATCTGAGGACATCCCATTACGGGTCAGAAAGTGCCAGTTTGAAACTAGTGTCGTAAAACTTGAGAAAGCTGCCTTCTGATTGGCTAATGTCGATTTCTTGTCAGTCATTTCATTGGTCGGTCAAAATTCGCGAAAGGTCGTTCTGACGTGACCCGTAATGGGATGTCCTCAGATCTTAAAACTAAGATCTGATTTTAATGAGATTGGGAAGAGTGTAGAGATTCTACCTTTCCACCATTCCAACTCCCTGGCCCGTTGCCTTAACCTCTATAGCGATGAAGTGTAATGAAAGCATAATCTGAAATTATCTCTCGCGTAACGTAAGCCATCTTTTTTACCCCTTGCGGTTTGCATACAGAGCCAGGTGAGGTGAGGTGAAATGGAGTTAGGCGTCGCGTCCAAGATTACTGCACTTATAAAGCGACGTGCATGTGTTTTGTTTGTATATGTGTTGCTAACGCCGCACTCTGCAATATTCCAGCTACGTGACGGAGGTCTGTAAGTAATCGAGTAATTTGAGATACGATGACATGCATCAACCAAGTCAGCCAGCCTGACCACCCGATCCCGTTAGTCGCCTCTTACAAGCATAATCGCCTTTTAGAGCAAATATGGGTTGTTGAAGACCTATTCTACCCCGGATCTTCAAGGGTGGTATCTGCTTTTACTAGTCCTGATTAATGCCGATTTTAAAGTCAAAGCCCACTGAGATACCATGCCGCAGTTTAACATGAATACCCCACCCAGACACTGTATACTGTCTCCGGGACGACCAGTTCTTGTTTTAGACCCTTAATGCCGATCACCAGGCAAGGTAACAAGAAGTACCTCTTTTAATGTCTTTTTGTATGACGCGATCAGGGTTCGAACCCCCGCTCTACGACTAGACCATGGAGGCGGTCACAGAGCCAGGCCTTTAGCTGAAGATGCAAATCTTGTTTTATAGTGCAGTCAAACATCCACAGCTGACTTAATCATATGTAAGCATTCTTTTTATTGACTTTTATTTTGCTTTTTAATACCTTCAGCCACACATTTTATTGGGAAAGTTGTTTGATATGAAAGTTACTTGTAATATTTAATATTGGATAGAAAGTTTTCTCTTCAATCTGCCTCAGTTTGTACAAATGCTCACTCACACAACTACTGTGTATACGAACAGGGGTTCCGCGGGGTTGTCATGTCGACCCTTCTTTTTATCCTGTACACGAACGATTGTGCAAGCCATGCGCCGGATTGCCTGATTGTCATGTTTGCTGATGACGCAACACTGGCTGGCCTCATTAGGGACAACTATGGAATACTGTAAGGGACATTCTCGCGATCTCGACCTATGGAAACGAGCTAAATATGCCCCAAACACGAGAATGCGAGATCGCGAGAACGCGAGATTTTGGCCAAATCTGGTGCATAGCACGTTTTGTCAAAAGTCGACAACGCGAGAATGCGACGTTTGGAAATGATGCAAAATCTCGCAATCTCGACTTGTCAAATTAGGCCTTAAAAACACGAAATCGCGAAAACGCGAGAATGCGACATTTAATTTTATCGCGATCTCGCGTTCTCGAGAATGCGAGATCGCGAGAATGTCCCTTACAGTATTCCATAGACAACTGATGACACCACAGAAAGGAAGTCAGTTTATTTGCTAAGTGGTGTGATGAAAATTATCATCTTTCTGTCAAATTAGAAGAAAACCTACGTAATTAATCATTGATTTTAGACATAACACCTGTCACCATCATTCACTAACCTTAGGAAGTTGTAACGGAATGTAAATATTTAAATAAATAAAATTAAACTGGAATGTCAGCACTGATGGGTTTTTTAAGAAATGTCAACAGAGATTACATTTTATGCGTAAATTAGTTTTTTTTAGTGTTAACCAGTGTGTATTGACTCTTTTGTATCGCTGTTTTGTTGAAAGTGTTTTAACCTTTTCAATTCAGTGCTGTTTGGAGCTCTTTCTGTTCAAAACCAATCACGCTTGGACAAAATCGTTTTAGTAGCTGAAAAGATAGCTGGTGACAGTTTATTTATTCATACGAAAGGCTTGGTTTGCTTTTATTTACACGAATCAAGTCGATTGGTAGGCTGGTGCCCGAAACATGTCACACATTTAATAGCATTGAACAAAACCAACGTTCAAAGAACAAAATAGAAACTGTTTAGGCAAAGACAGTAAAACTGCCCCACGATGAGCAGACAGGACCGCTGCAAGATATTGTTTATATTGCAGTCATCGGGTGGTCCTTCGGGATATCATGAAACCGACCTATGTTCTACGTGGAGGCAACTTCTATTTCAAAAACCAAAATTCATTTACAAACATCATTCAGATATGTGCAGTCAAGGTGGGGGACATTTTTCTTTCGAACCCCTCTCTCTGCAGTTGTTCTACATGGGGCACAAACCTTGCAAAACCTGTCCCATCCTGAATTCAAATCTACCTTTACAGCTAAAACATACTGCACAAAACCTTTTCAAGACCAATCACGTCAAACTAAAAACGTCATGCATGGCATTGAATGTATCCTTTGTGGATTGATATATGTTGGAGAGATGCAACAGAAATTATCGACTTGAGTCAGCCAGCATAGATCGGGCATCAATATAACTGTCTCTGATTGTGTCTACTAACAATTCAATTCTGAAAACCATTCCACCTTTGCATGAAAGATAGGATATGGGAGAAAATATACCATCCAACTAATAGCCTTAAATGCAGTCGACCTTGATAATTGGATGCGACTGTTGTGTACAGTAATGCCACATGGACATAATTAAAAAATCCAAGACGTTGCAATCTTTCTAACCAGCGAACAGCCAACGTCAGTGTATTGAGTCTGTTTCTGGCACCCCAATGACGTCGACATAAGAAAGGACGAAGGCCAAATGATACCATTCTTTTAGAAGCCTTCTTGCCCCTCCTTCAGGAACCACTGCCCAGAGTAAGAACAGAACTATTGTCTGTGTCATTAAAAGACAGTAAACGACTCCAGCAACTTTTGCTAATGGGTGAGTCTACTAACAGTACGAGACCACAGTATCGACCAGAGGGTATAGTTCTTGATATGACTTTGAAACATTTGGCCAAACCAGGAACAGACTGTCAATCAGACAAAGACCTTTGTTCGTGTATACCATTTGATCCAGGCTGTTCAATTATAGGAGCGTGTTGCAAAAGGTTGACTTGGCAGCTTGATGTAAATTCCATACATACAAAAAGAACAAGTCATTGCACCTCCATATTTGTCCTATGGTGTTAGAAAGTTGAATATTTATCATACTCGATTAAGATACATGAAAAGCCAGTTAAATTATGATTTATACAGAATAGAGATAAAATGTGATCCAATATGTCAATGTGGTAATCCATGTGAAAACGCATATCATTATTTATTCAAGTGTCCATTGTACGTCCACCAAAGAAAAACTATGTTAATAATAATTCGGGACATTTTACACAACGCCGTGAACAAAAATGTTAAATTAGATTTAAGTTTGATGTTAAACAGAAATGAATGTTTGTCCATTATCGAAAATCAACACATTTTTAAAGCAGTGCAAATGTTTATAAGTCTTAACAAGAGATTTGGGTAACACTTTAATGTACATATACTAGTCTCTCTTTTGTACATTTCTTTTGTTATCTTTACACATATCTTCTTTTCTGTTTACCTTGTATAAAATTTACTGTACAAGCTTTTGTAAATACCATGGAGAGGGAGTCCTAAGTTGGATAACTTGTTCCCAATCCATTTCAATCTGAATAAAATATGTTTAAATCATGTAAATTCCACTACTTGTGGCTGCCATCATACTCATCATACTGCTAGCCGGCAGGTAGATCATATATGACAGGTGGCTTCTCTATTGATGACAATAAAAACCTTCGTCAGTTATTCAAATATGGGCCAAAATATCGCGAGCAGTCTTCAATTGAGATCACAACTTAAAAATCATTATGGGTACTGTCAAAGCATATGCCCAAAAATGAGCCAAAAGAAAAGAGGAACCTGTTGAATGTCTCTCAGACTGGCTGCAGGCAGTGCGTGACGTTGTCATTGGTAGAATGCACAAACACAAAATTGGCATAGACCCATTCTGTCCCAGCCAGCCGCCATCCAAAGTCTGGCTTCCATACAAGAAAAATGTGTAATTTTTCCCACTTACAAGGTCTCAAATAACAGAACCATTATATGTAAGTCTCACTACGTTAATTGTTTGACCAAAGAGTGTGAGTGAGTGAGTTTGGTTTTACGCCGCTTTTAGCAATATTCCAGCAATATCACGGCGGGGGACACCAGAAATGGGCTTCACACATTGTACCCATGTCGGGATTCGAACCCGGATCTTCGGCGTGACGAGCGAACGCTTTAACCACTAGGCTACCCGACCGCCCCTTTTGACCAAAGAACTTGATATGAGTGACACATAAAAAAATGCCGCATAAGAAATCTGTGAAAACCATGCATTTGTACTATCAATTTTTAGCTTGACTCTAAAACCTGAAGAAACGTCCATTCCTCTTTTGTACTTGATTCCAAAGCTCGACAAAGAGATATTAATTGCTGGGTACAGCAAGTGTCCCACCATGTCCATGTCTCAAAGATTAACCATAATCCTTATAGCAATCAAGGAACGACTTTCTTTATATTCATTTTTTGAGACAAGTGGAATTAACACCATGCGGATTCTCAAAAACTCAAAAGATTTGCTTGACTTCTTTATAATCTCTGAAAAAAGACAAGTTCCATTCTGTTACAACATTTGATTTTTCAACTTTGTACGCCACCGTTCCCCATGAAAACTCCACTCCTTGATCCATAGGTCTTCTGTTACAATTGCGTGGATCGATGCTCATGATGTCAATCACTGAATTGTCTGGTCAAGACTCGATTATTTACAGACCGCCATCATATAGCTGGAATATTGCTGATTTCGGCGTTAATCAACAAACAAACAAACCAGTTGAATATCTGCTCCACTCTATGCATACATCTGTCATCTACATCAGTACTGCTGCCCCCACCCACCAGATGAATCGTAGATATATCTCATCTGCCATCTTCATCAGTACAAGTGCCCCCACCCACCAGATGAATCGTAGATATATGTCATCTGCCATCTTCATCAGTACAAGTGCTCCCACCCACCAGATGAATCGTAGATATATGCCATCTGCCATCTTCATCAGTACAAGTGCCCCCACCCACCAGATGAATCGTAGATATATGTCATCTGCCATCTTCATCAGTACAAGTGCCCCCAACCATCAGATGAATCGTAGATATATATCATCTGCCATCTTCATCAGTACAAGTGCCCCCATCCACCAGATGAATCGTAGATATATATCATCTGCCATCTTCAACAGTACAAGTGCCCCCACCCACCAGATGAATCGTAGATATATATCGTCTGCCATCTTCATCAGTACAAGTGCTCCCACCCACCAGATGAATCGTAGATATATGTCATCTGCAATCTTCATCAGTACAAGGGCCCCTACCCACAAGATGAATCGTAGATATATATCATCTTCCATCTTCATCAGTACAAGTGCCCCCACCCACCAGATGAATCGTAGATATATGTCATCTGCCATCTTCATCAGTACAAGTGCTCCCACCCACCAGACTCGTAGATATTTGTCATCTGCCATCTTCATCAGTACAAGAGCTCCAAACCACCAGATGAATCGTAGATATATGTCATCTGCCATCTTCATCAGTACAAGTGCTCCCAACCACCAGATACCTCGCTCTTCCACCTGTGGTATATCTGTCATCTTTCAATTGTCATCTTCAGCAGTACGGTTGCACCCATCTTCCAAATGATCCTACAACCCCTAGAAGTAGGGACTTGAATCTTGTGAAATAATGATGATCCCTTGGACTGGCAGCTTCGTCATCACTTAGCCTCGGTAAGGGGTCACCATGGTCTTGGAATGGAGAACAATCTTGGATTTGAATATGTCTCAAATTCATTCAGAAGACACAATCAGCTCAATCGTCCAACAGTTTCAGCCCAATCGTCCTACAGCTTCAGCTCCATCGTCCAACAGTTTCAGCTCATTCGTCCAACAGCTTCAGCTCCATCGTCTTACAGCTTCAGCCCCATCGTCCAACAGCTTCAGCTCAATCGTCCTACAGCTTCAGCTCCATCGTTCAACAGTTTCAGCTCAATCTCCAACAGCTTCAGCTCCATCGTCCAACAGTTTCAGCTCCATCGTGCAACAGTTTCAGCCCAATCGTCCTACAGCTTCAGCTCCATCGTCCAACAGTTTCAGCTCAATCGTCAAACAGCTTCAGCCCCATCGCCAACAGTTTCAGCTCAATCTCCAACAGCTTCAGCTCCTTCGTCCAACAGTTTCAGGCCAATCGTCCTACAGCTTCAGCTCCATCGTCCAACAGTTTCAGCTCAATCGTCAAACAGCTTCAGCTCCATCGCCAACAGTTTCAGCTCCATCGTCCAATAATGTCAGCTTCATCGTCCAACAGCTTCAGCTCCATCGTCAAACATTTTCCGCTTCACAGGTCAACATTTTCAGCTGCCTCCGCTTTTAACAGTATTCCAGTCATATCACGGCGTGTCAGCTTAATGTGGGAGGAAAGCCCGAAGTGTTGCAGGCCTCAGACGTTTACCACTTCGGTGAAACCCACGATCACGGGTTAGGTGCTGACAAACCTAGAAACATAATCGGGGTGAACCGGGATTCGAACCCACAAACAGAGGTTTCTGGCGTGCCCAAGGGACGCAACTCTGCACAGCGAATCGCGGCGCCTTAGACGACTGGGCCCCCCGCGCCCCCTGGTTAGTTATAAAAATATGTCATATTTTGTCAATTTTTGACTGTCCATTGGCGACAGATATCAACAAATTGGTTGTGTGTAATTTGTTTTATATTATCTGATTATTTTAGTGTCCTTGCATTAACCTACATTTTCCGGGTGCGAAATATTGCCGATTTGAATGATAATTCACTCATGAAGGTGGGGAAATTTAAATTTAAGATTTAATACTTACATGGCATGTCCAGGTCCAGATAGCCCGTGGTTGTCATTCAATGGCTTCAGATGAAGAGAGGCAATGATTTAGGTTTGATACCTGCTCGGATCTGTAACAAGCATCCAGTGAGTGCATGTTCACCTGCGTTTCTATATCGTGAGATTGGCTACGACAGCCGTCGTGTATGCGACAGAGCATACGAATGAACCTCTGCGTCGGTATATGATTGATCACATGGAAACAACAACTGTGGGCCTCCATTTAACAGATGTAGAAAGGGGATGTCCCTCGTGAATACATCACCTGTAGTTTATACCCTTGTAGTTTGAGAGATAGCGCAGGTGCAACCATTGAGCTTTAGTTACAAGCATCGGCTTCTAATTTCAAATAGTTATTTACTCGACACTGGGACGACTAATGGATGCTGACATATTCCGTCGGGACTTGTTCGACTTTGGTCCTCAGCAATCAATATTCGTGTTGTCTTTGGTGACGACATAGGGAGTGGCGAAACTACCATTGTGGCAGAAAAGCAATTGCTTACACCAAAAAAAGGCCAATTCTTTTTCCTAAAAATAGGTAAACCTCATTTTAATATCTATGCAGTAAATTATTATTTTGAAACTACTCGGTCCAACATGCTATTTAATGTCTAACTTGAAAACGGGAATCCTTACGTACCTAAGTTTTTAGTGGTAGATGTTTGTCAAGTTGTTAGAGTGGCCTTTCAGGATCTATATCCTTATATTCACTTGCCTATGAGGGGCGGTCGGGTAGCCTAGTGGTTAAAGCGTTCGCTCGTCACGCTGAAGACCCGGGTTCGATTCCCGACATTTTCTGTGCGAAAATATGAAATGACAATACTTAGAAAGATAAAACATAAAATATGTCCATTGCAGATAGAAACATTCCCACAAGGGTACAATGTTTTCACTCGTCGCAAAATGGCCGAACTAATGTCGATGCAACGTTAAATTTTAACTCACTCACTCACAATGTTTGAAGATATTATTTTTCCGAAATATGTATTTCTAAGAGCGGCGTAAAACCGGAGAACGATTCCAATTTGTTTAAAAAAAAATTATTCCATTAGCCTGTGACACGGAGCGTTCCACTATAGTGGTGTTCACATCTGTTCATCATGTCATTAACCCATGAAGATCTGGGGTAGAATCATCTTCAACTGAAACTGACTATAAAAGTCCAGTTTCCGCTCTTGCCGAACTAGGCTGGTATTATGGAGTTACATTTTGACTGGACTAACGAGTCTATGCATAGTCCAATCAAAATCGCGCAAAGAAATCGAAATCCGGTTCGTAAACTGTCGTGCAGATTTCGGTCGATTGCAGGATTTGCAAAGCATTTGCACCGCCAACTTGTTGTCAGCAGATATTTTCCAAATCTTTTCATGTTTTTAATCAAGGTGCTCACGTGATTTGATGCATTTCGCGATGTAAGACCCGTTTTATCACAATATAGATCTTGATTATCGATCAGATCGTCCTTTGTGACCATGGCAGGAAGGCGATTATCAAACGCCACAAGATGGCAAATAATCGGCATGCATAACGAAGGAATGTCTTGTAATGCCATTGGTCGGAAGTTGGGGTATCATCACACTGTCGTAAGCCGTTTAGTCGAGAAACATGCTCAGACCGGTGATGTACAGGATCGTTCCAGATCCGAAAGACCTGTGACGACGCATCGCGAAGACAGGGACCTTCTTCGTCTAATACGCCGAGAACCCTTTTTAACAAGTACTCTTATGAAACAGCTGTGGTTGCCCAATCTTCGTTTCAGCACCAGAACCGCCAGGAACCGGCTGAAAGCAGCAAGACTAAGGGCTAGACGAGTCATAAAACGTCCCTTGTTGAGAGATCACTACAAATCTGCTCATTTAGCATGGTGTATTGCGCAACAGAACTGGAATCTGAGAACTTGGAGACGGGTCCATTGGTCAGACGAAAGTCGCTTTCTGCTCCACGTCACTGATGGAAGAACGAGAGTTTGGAGGCACCGGGATACGGCCTACACCCCCAGGAACATTAAACCGACTGTTGCTTACGGCGGAGGCTCGGTAATGGTTTGGGGTGTTTCTCTCATTATTGCAGGTTGGATTTGGTCACCATAGGGAGCAACTTAACAGGGGCTCAGTACATCCGGGACGTTTTGAGGCCAGTCGTCGTTCGTCATTTTGACAACCACCCCCTTGCTACTCGACTTCAGTACATGGATGACAATGCCAGGTCTCATCGTTCGCATGCAGTCGTGGATTACATGAGGGCCAATGCAATAACGACTCTACCCTGGCCAGCAATGAGCCCAGAGTTGAACCCCCTTGAACATGTTTGGGATATTCTGGGGCGGCGTATACAGGCACGAGCTCCTCTTGTACAAGATTTACGCCAATTGGAAGCAGCATTGCATCAGAAGAGGTTGTTGTTGACCCATCAAAAGATCCAACGTCTGACTGGAGGCATGAGACGTTGGGTGGAATGCGTCATCCGACGGTTATACCCGCTACTGATCTGTTTCACGTGTCATGTCAAGTAGAGACTTTCAGAAACATTTTCACATGAAACATCAAACGTAACTCGTTTGCTTAATCCTCCATACTTTTTTAGGTATTGTCTAAGGTAAAAAATAGCACTTGTGTTACCATGATGTTTTTGTCAGTAAATTTCAATCACAACTTACCAATATCTTCTTTATTTGTTGTCAAATGTTTGTTCCATCCGATGACATTGGTATCGCCCAGCTCCTGTGGTCAGTCATCCCATACAATGTTTTTTGCCATTTGTTATGGTGCAGAAATAGGGGTGTGCTTAACTTTTTTCTTTGTGTATATATTCCATATGATTTAAATTTGACAGAAAACCTTCTCTTTGACTCTACTATGCCTTACAATTTATAAAGGCGGTTGGGTACATGACGCCTTCATTCTACAGCTATTACAGTCGAAAGTAGGAAAGCAAGTACACTCTTCAAAAAAGGAAACGCACAGGTAGTATGTGGTTCGTTGAACCTGACTACACATAACATCCGGTATATGAATTGGATATATGTTATTGGAAAATGTTGGTGGCCTGATATTAGACAAACGCGTCAAAACGCAGCCATTGTCGATTTGCATTGTTTTCGCACTTGTTCAAAAATGCCATGAAGGAAAACAGTAAAGCAAAATGCACGTGCAAGTTATGGCATTCGTAACTCGTGGTAGTGGCTATAAAAAAGGCAAGCATAAGCCAATAATGTGTCATTCAATTGTCAACATTTTTCAAGTTTGTAAATGCCGAGACTCAGCGCTGCCGATCGGAACATTGCCATAGGACATGTCCAAAGAGGGGAATCGCAGTCTTCTGTTGCACGCCACTTCAACGTCCAGCACAGCACCATTTGCCGCCTTTGTGACCGATACACACAGTTCAGTTCCACTGCAGGCCGTCCGAGAACTGGTCAACCAAGAGTTACCACCCTGCACAGGATCGCTACATTCGACTGTTCCACCTACGTCATCGCAATGCCACAGCTACGGAGACGCACCCCTAATTTGAGAAACTGGAGACGAGTGTGGTTTAGCGATGAATCACCATATCTTCTTCACCGGCGAGATGGAAGCCAACGTGGAAGCCATGGGACAGCGCTCCACCGCTCGCGTCACGGTAGACTAACTTCATAATGCCAACATCAACGTCTTTCCCTAACCGTCGAGATATCCAAATCTTAACCCAATCGAACACCCCTGGGATGAACTCAATCGACGTGTACGTCAACCTCAGAACACGCCGCAGACAATCCCAAAACTGGCCAACGCGTTACAAGCAGAATGGAACAGAATTCCGCAGGACAGAATTCGTACACTTATCCACTCAGTGTCGAGGAGATGCAAAGCCGGGATTGTTGCCCGGGGCGGTCACACGATAAAACTGAGTTCAGCGCAACCTTGTGGCCTTATGTGACATGACAATGAACAGTTTTCAATGCCTTTGTACAACGACAACATGTGTCTATCGTGTTCCAAAATTTCATATTGGTATCTATGATATTAAATTAAATATGTGGTACAATAAATTTACTAAAAACTTAGCTGTGCGTTTCTTCTTCTTTTTTGAAGAGTGTAGAAAGGAGCGCAACTGGTAGTTACCGTTAACGTGGTTATTTACAGTTTGAAAAAAATAGATTACCTGTTCAGACGTGCGATTGATCTGATCCCTTGAAATGTTTATCCCCTAACTGCGTTTACCTTATAATGATTACTTTCCTCCGTACACATCTGGTTTCACAGGTGTTTGTGGACAACACTCTGCATCTTCGGGTCCAATTCCCGTCGGGTTTCGTTTATTACCATGTGGAATAATATATCAAACGTTTAATGTTATATATCATTCATCCGGTGTCCATGTCTTCGACTTAAAGTGTCAATTGATCCACTTTCATTAACGGCTTTAAAGTAGGATAGGTTCGTAAACACACTGTTGGCATCAATCGATTTCAGGAAAATCAAACTTTAGTCCGCGTGGGTTCAAGGCCAGTAATAAATGTGACAGATGTGGAGTGCCGGAAACAATACAGCATTATTTGTTTTTCTGTCCAAATGCCTTTCCATTTTGGATTATTTTTGTTAAACTGGATGAAAGTGAATATTAATGATATGACATTTGAAAATGACAGAGATACAGTATTATTTGGAGTGAAAAAGAGTGTCTCCACCGACGAGGGGGCACGGGTGGCCCAGTCGTCTAAGGCGCCGCGATTCGCTGTGCAGAGTTGCGTCCCTTGGACACGCCAGAAACCTATGATTGTGGGTTCGAATCCCGGTTCGACCCGATTATGTTTCTAGGTTTGTCAGCACCATACCCATGCTCGTGGGTTTCACCGAAGTGGTAAACGTCTGAGACCTGCATCACTTCGGGCTTTCCTCCAACATTAAGCTGACACGCCGTGATATAACTGGAATACTGTTAAAAGCGGCGTTAAACCAAACTCACCTACTCACTCACTCACTCACTCACTCCACCGACGAAACGACAGTCAGTTCTCTCCTACTTACGGTAAATTATTATGTGTATAAATGTAAAATTCTTGAAGAGATCTGTACATTTGATAACTATGTTAAGGAGCTGGAGTTTCATGTACAAATTATTAACAACCATAAAAAAATGGACCGTGTAATGGTAGAGCGAATATCAGAATCTCTGCCCAAGTAATGTCGACTGAGCCTGCGCATACTACGACCCGTTAGTCCAGACACGTGGTCTCTGTTGTAAAATCGTGGCACCTAAAGTGAAATAAATACATTTTAAAAAATATCCTCCGAGGGAATTCCGTAGCAAAATAGATCCCATGTGGCCGAGGTCTGTCGTCAGAGACCATTAATGAGGATTGGGTTGGTACAATTCTTGACTACCCGCGGGGCAGAAAATTAATGAAATTAATTATTTATGTTTGTCGTCAGTCTTTTAATGTATACTGTGTTACCATTTGTATCTGGCCTGAGGCCTATACATATACTTGGCTTGGCTTGGCTTGGCTTGGCTTGGCTTGGCTTGGCCTGGCCTGGCCTGGCCTGGCCTGGCCTGGCTTGGCTTGGCTCTAATGAGGATTGAGTGGTTACAATGTATGACTGGCCGGGTGTCATCGTGTTCCGACGGCGTAGATAGTTTCTATTGCATTCAGATCCTGGATGACTTACCCATGAAGCAGTGTTCAAAATAAGCGCCGGCCCGTAGGCCCGTTGCAGGTAGAGATCTCGTGTCGGGACCGGGGTTTCAAAGTTGTATGGGTAATTATGGCCTGCCGTTGATTTACGTGTCTATTTATTTGTCACAATCAGCTGCAGTTTTTGTTTTTTAATGAGGACCTGAAGGGTTTAGTCAGGGCCTGCAGGTCCTAAAGCTTGTGGGTCCTGGTGGCAGCCTGGCAATTTATTCTCTACGGTATTAACTGACCCATTAAGTCAGCTTCTTGACTGACTGGCCCAGAGTTAGGTATTTATGTAAAGGCATTCCGTGGTATAGCTCATAGAGATGTAATACATTATATACTTGATAAATGAGCCTTTTACTAAAAATACGTTTTCTAGAAAGAATTACCTCGAATAATTCAACGAACACAACAAGGGAGCATTCAACGAAGCATTTACTTTAAAAGAACTATGTATGTATCTGTCTAATCTGGCACACTGAAGATGTCTGATAAATATACAGGAAGACTAAACGAAGAGGGTGTTATATATGACATAATTATTAAGCCGAACTGGAGATCGCGTCCTTCACAACGAGGGAGCATTCATTTCACTTGATAGTATGTATTTACATAACTCACTGAACGGTCCCTTATCCGGGACCTTACCGATCCAATATGGCGCTAGGAGACGAGGTTGTACTTTCTTCTGATCCTCCAGAGGTAAAATTCAGATATTATGCAGGGGTTATTGAAAAATATTCACAGTCAAGTACATCACATTAATTCCGTTTTATAATATATGTTGATCTCATTCAACATGTATCAGAGATAACTGATTAAGCCGAGAGCGTGTCTGACAACATGCCCGTGACACCGGTCACCTTGATCGAAATCCCAGCTCAATAACCCACAAACGTGTACTTAGAAACGTCTTATCTGATTGCTTGCTTGAATAATGTATTTAGTTTTCAACATAGTTTGATATACGCTAAACGCAGACAAGTTTAAAACACAATTGTCTTGGTTTCTCATTGAAGATATGATATAGATCTATGGTCCTGGATCTACTAGCCTAGTATTGGCGAGTAACAGGGTTTTACCTTGACTTACAAAAGTGGGGGTCCAGGGAAACTGCAGTAATACATTTTCAGGGACCTTACAGGTAACGTGAGGGTCTTGTGAAGTAATGAATGGTATTATGTACTGTACGTTTAGATAATTATTTTAGAGCCCGAATGAATCAATGGTCATTTGGACAGAGGTCATGCTTGATGTTTGAACTGACAGATGTCCATTACTGATCTTGATATGCTGAAGGTACAAAGATCATGTGTGTCTTGTAAAAAGGTAAAAGATAGGGGTGAAAGGATACACTAGTGCGTCGTGAGTTTTCATGCGAGGATACATTTTTCTCTGTATCAATACAAGATGACACAGTTGCTAAAATATATTACTTACTACTCGTTTAATAACAGATCTGGATATGATACTCCCAAATGGTGTACAGCAGATTTGTGATGTCTCAAGTTTTAACGATAAGTGAAGATTGACAATCTGTAATGCATCCCAAATTAACCCTCATTATAGCGTTGTCAGCACAATACCCGTGCTACTGTGCTACCCCCTTGATGGTAAAGTCTAATATCTGCGTCATTTCAGGATTTCCTGCCACAGCAAGCTCACTCGCTCACAAACTCATTACCCTAATTTTCATTCATAGACAAAATCCTCACTTCAAATCAACGATATTTTTCCTATTCATATTGCTATTATAATGGAGAAACATTCTGCATCTAGGAACAAAACTAAATCCTTAATGACTTTCACCCAACACGCACACACACCTACAAAGCAAGAATTTGTATTAAAAATGATGTAAACCAAGTTAAAGCAACAAAAGCCAAGCCCTTTTACTATCATCATGACCATACTTCTTAATTTTGGCCCTGTGAAACTCCAGAGTAGAGTAGGCCTTCAGCAACCCATGCTTGACATAAAATGTGACTGCTTGTCGTAAGAGGCGACTAACAGGATCGTGTGGCCAAGGTCACTGACTTGGTTGATTTATTGTAATCACTGGATTGTCTGGTCCAGACTCAATTATTTACAGACCGCCGTCATACACCTGGAATATTGGTGAGTGCGGCGTCAAACAACAAATGAAATATTTGTAATGTTGTTTTTGTAAATGATTCAGTTTTCTGAAATACTCTGAATACCATCATAATTTGACATGGTCTTATGAATTTTAGCTAGCCTTGGGCTAATAGCATAAAGGTAAGTGTATGATATTATTATTATATGTATTTGTTCACACAAATATTTTTTGGTTACAGGAGGAAGAGGAGGAGGATCTGGTGGTGAGCTGATCTCATTTGAGTCCTTGTGTGAAATGAGTGATGGACTAGTTGGATATTTGTATAGTATACATATACGACCTGGTGTCTACCTGTTTATGGTTCTTTTTGTTTTGTTGTTTGTTCCCCAAACTTCCATTTTGTACAACTTAGTCTCACTTACATACTATTGCAGGGATTAACAAAGAACAACTACATGCCCCAATAGTAGAAACCTTGGTGACATGTAGCAATATCAAACCCCTCCCCACAAATTGTTGAAATTCTACCAGTCCTGAGGATATCTTTAAGATAAACAAAACTTGTCCAGGCTAGCAGCAAGTGCTAATTTTCAACCCTGTACTGTACTGGTAAAGTTAAGACACAAAGAAATTGCTGATTATTTTACAATTTCAACTGTTCTACTTCCAGGAAAAATCTGCATTGTCATGGTCTTGTAGACCAACAACCTCATAGCCAATATTGTATTTTTGAAAATGATGCTTGATTGCATGTCTGGGATATTTGGCAGCATGTGACAAAACCTTGTCTACTTACTGGCCTGAATTAGTCTTTTTGTATCATTTCTTTCGATATCAGTGTATATGTACATGGGCTTTGATGACCTGTTCTTACAAGACAGGAATGAGTTTTACTTGACTCAGGCTTTTGACTAGTGGCTAATATAGCAAGCTGGAACAGACTTCGGCCCAAGTCTGGGATCATTTTCTACCTATAGTCTGGAAGGTAATTTAAGGTACCGACGTTTACTACAATATCTGAAAAACAGTTGGACCTACTCCAGTCAAAGTTGGTATGAGATTATTAAAAAGTCATACATAACTGGATATTACATTTAAAGACAATCGGTGCATGAATAAAAAATCTGTCTTTTTAGTTATCACTATATTTCATGAACAACCAGACCTGTTTGTCACGGGTGGAACGAGCATTCATTGAAACAGCCATCTGCATTATGCTACCCCTGCATCGCAGGGCCATATGACACAGTTGAACCAATCAACTCAACTCGAAAGGGTGCACTGGAATCACACACGTTTAGACGCCCAACGCTAACACAGTATTCGTGCGTGCTTGATTCCCGCGCACTGTTGAGTTGATTGCCCAGTCCCCCAAATTTTGACTATTCAGGATTAAGTGGTTACAGTGGGTGGTGTATTGTGTCATCATGCCCCAACTGATTTCATTTTCGCCCATTTATTATTTACAGGCATTTGTGTCTTAGGTGATGCTTTCTAGCATAAGACAATATTCAGTCATTACACATGCGACCTGTGAAGATCCGGGGTTGAATAGGTCTTCAGCAACCCCTGCTTGCCGTAAAAGGCCACTATGCTTGTCATAAGAGGCGACTAACGGGATCGGGTGGTCAGGCTCGCTGATTTGGTTGATGCATGTCATCGTATCCCAATTGCCTTGATCGATGCTCATGATGTCAGTCAAAGGATTGTCTGTTCCAGACTCAATTTATTTACAGCCCGCTGTCATATAGCTGAATATGGCTGAGTGCAGCGTTAAACAACAAACTAACACTACACATGCTAAACAAATTTGAATTATGTTTTTCTAATTAAAAGTTTGTTAATATACAAATCCGACTAAGACTGTGAATTCAGTTGGTTTTGTCTCATTTTAGGATCCCCAGGACACAATGAAGGAGTCTTGTGGTTCCTCCTGTGAGAAGTACAAGGCTGAGTGGGATGCTTGTACAGAGAGAGTGAGTGGTCGGTCAGAAACAGCAGAGACTTGCACACAGGAGCTGTTCGACTTTGTCCACTGTGTAGATTCATGTGTAAGTTGCAAGTCGAATAATTGGTTGGACCAGTTTTTCATTCATGGTCAGAAGATGGATAAAAAACTTTAACAATGTCTTTCATTCAGTAAAGTTTTAACTTTGTATGGCTTTGTCACAATAATTGCTATAGTCCTTTTCTTAATGGAATATATTTTCTCTAGAAAGGCAAGGTACCACAATTATTAGTTCACTTAAATTTCAAACTTGACTTGACATGTTCTTGAGGATGATATTGCAGTCTCTTGTCCTATGAAATATTTTTCACGAAGTTAACAATATCTTTTCCTTGTTTAATGATTAAATAGATTAGAGTTGTCATTCCTCTAATATGCATGTTTACATTGCAGGTATCGAAAGACCTGTTTGCCAAGCTGAAATGATAATACGTAGCCATAGACATGGTTGAAGCATCTACATGTGAGGGACTTGAGTGGTACCTGTTAAGCTTGGGAAAATCTGGAGCAGTAGACGACCATTTGTTGCTTATGTTTAGCTAGGACCATTCACTGTTCAGTTGTTCGTTCATTGGCTCTCACCAGTCTGTTTTGTACAAATATTTAGTCTGGACAAAGTAAATCACAGTTGAATCCAAACTTGATTTTGTTGTTTATCTGTTGTATGACATTTTGATGATGGACATGTTAGTCTCTGGCCAGTTGGCATTCCTGGCTTTAAAGCTTTTCATCAGTCTCTAAAATACCAGGGAATTATCTAGAATTCCAAACTAAGGTGAGGTGGGATTTATACAGCGGGTTCAAGATTATTGCACTTAAATAGGGACGTGCATGCACGTACGTGTCTGTGTCTGCTTGTACTAGTCTCGACTAATGCTGATGTAATGGTGCTAGCCCACTGAGATACAGTGCTGCAGTTTAACATGAATACCCCACTCAAACACAGTATACGGACTCTGAGCAAACCAGTCCTTGTTTTATCTGACCACCTCCATTTTCTAGTGGTAGAGCGTCTGCGAAAGGTCAGGGGTTTGATCCCCCAGCCACGTCATACCGAAAGACGTTAAAAGATGGTACCTGTTGTAATCCTACCTGGCGCTCGGCATTAAGGGGCTAAAACAAGAACTGGTCGGTTTGGAGTCAGTACACTGTGTCTGAGTGGGGTATTCATGTTAAACTGTGGCTTGGTATCTCTGGTCTAGCACTAAAAAATCCGCATTAGTCCTGGCTAGTACTAACAGACACACATATGTGCCTGCACATCGCTACATAAGTGCAAAAATCTTGAATGCGACATTAAACCCCATTTCACATCGCCTATCCTTACGGGTGGTCAAAAGCAAAGCTTTGTTACAAGTCGAACAGCAATTAAGATACTTAGAATGAATTGTGCAGCAGATGTTTATGGTTGAGCTTTATAGAACACAATTTTGTCATATTTACTGGAGGATGCTATGAAATCGATATTTTCAAGCAACAAATCCCTATTTTGCACAAATGATTTAATACGATTCAGAAAACATCCAGATTGTCCAGTATATTGTACCTCATCATCCTGGACCCATTTGGCGCCATAGCTTCATTTTGTAAGTGACATCACAAGCTTATCTACTCTTTGGATTAGGGTCACTGTATTCCAACAGCCTGCGTCTTTGTCTATAATATCAATCCTGGTTTGTCTGGTCCAAACTTGATTATTTACAGGCCATGGCCATACAGGTGAAAGACTGGTGAATGTGTCATTAAACAAACGTTTTCACATTTAATACACCCTCTGAGCAATACAAACTACCAAACGCCTCCATGGTGTTCTAGTGGACAGAGGTCCGCTGGAGAGCAGGTTGGTGGTTGATCCCGACTAGGGGATTGCGTCAAACCCAAAGACATCAAGGGGGTAAAACAAGGATTGGTCGGCTCAGTGTGGTATACTGTGTCCGAGTGGGGTACCCATGTTAAACTGAGGCAGGTTTCTCAGTGGGCTAGCTCTATAAAACTGGCACTTTTCGGAGGAGTACAAGCAGCCATGAATTTCGCTTTATAAATGCAATAATCTTTAACGCAAGGTTTAACCCCATTTCACCCCACACCACCTATAGACTCCCTTTTACATGCTACATACCTCACATTGCTAATCTGTAAACCAAGTAGTAAAATATATACTACTCAAAGAGGTTAAAGGACACCCGATTCTTTCATGTTACTATAGTTATCTGCCATGCATGCCATGGCATTTCCCAGGATGTGTTCCAGTGGTATAAGACCGCTCTGTAACTCAGTTTATGACGACGTGTCGACTTTTCGTCGGAGGAAAAAAGTGCACAGGTAGAAGTTTACACTTGAGAACCATGAACACAGGTGAAGACCGCCTCCGTGGTCTAGTGGTAGAGCGTCTGCCCGGAGAGCGGAAGGTCAGGGGTTCGATCCCCGACCACGTCATACCAAAAGACGTTAAAAGATGGTACTTGTTGTTACCATGTCTGGCGCTCGGCATTAAGGGGCTAAAACAAGGACTGGTCGGCTCGGAGTCAGTATACTGTGTCTGAGTGGGGTATTCATGTTAAACTGCGGCATGGTATCTCAGTGAGCTAGCATTATAAATCGGCATCAGTCCGGACTAGTACAAGCAGACACACAAACACATACGTACACGTACATGCACGACGCTATATAAGTGCAATATTCTTGGACGCGACGTTAAACCCCATTTCACCTCACCTCACCTCACCCAGGAGGTGTTCCATTGGTATGAGGCCGCTCGGTACCTCAGTTTATATGATGATGTGTCCACTTTTCGTCGGAGGAAAAAGGGCACAGGTAGAAGTTTACACTTGAGAACCATGAACACAGGTGCGGTGCTTACAGACCAAGGACCATCATACAGGCGAATCTTGGATTCGAAAGGACAATTCTGCTAAGCGATTTTCGGCGCATTTTACTGATGGATCAGCACCGTTTGTTCCCTGAATATAACTGTTAGTCTAGTACAGGAAACCGTTGAAAGAGGACGTTTCAAACGTCCTGGTTTTAAGTTTGAGAAATTTAAAGACAGCAAAGGAAGATATGTTGTTGTTTTAAAAGGGGGCACGGGTTGCCCAGTCGTCTAAGGCGCCGCGATTCGCTGTGCAGAGTTGATTCCCTTGGGCACGCCAGAAACCTATAATTGTGGGTTCGAATCCCGGTTCGCCCTTATTATGTTTCTAGGTTTGTTAGCACCATACCCGTGCTCGTGGGTTTCACCGAAGTGATAAACGTCTGAGACCTGCATCACTTCGGGCTTTCCTCCCACACTACGCTGACACGCCGTGATATAACTGGAATACTGTTAAAAGCGGCGTTAAACCCAACTCACTCACTGTTGTTTTAAAAATAACACAGTGAGAGGTACATGTATACCTTTCAAAGACATTCAACATTGACTGCTTATATAAAGTGCCCCTGTTTGTTCTGTGGTCATGAAGCTTGGATGTGCTCAACGGTAGTTTCAAACCCCATGGATTAGCAAAAAGTATTTTTCATGAAACATTGTCACTGTAAGAATTGTAATCATTAACTAACACACCATACAAGCGGTTAGCTGACAAAGTGGTGTATAAACGGTTTGAATTAAATTGCAAGTGCCTCTTGGAAAGCATATTGTGGGCCCACCTTAGTACCTTGTGTTAGTGACCGGATCCGTGGTCTAATGGATAGAGCGTCTATCGGGAAGGGCGGTGGTCCAATCCCCGGCCGCGTCATACCAAAAGACGTTAAACGATGGTACTTGTTGTTACCCTGTCTGGCGCTCGGCATTAGGAGGATAAAGCAAGGACTGTGAGTCAGTATACTGTGTCTGGGCGGGGTATCTCATGCAGTGGGCTGGCACTAGAAAACCGGCATAAGTCCAGACTAGTACAAGCAGCCACACATGCACGTCTGTTTGTTTGTTGTTTAACGCCGCACTCAGCAATATTCCAGCTATATGGCGGCGGTATGTAAATAATCGAGTCTGGACCAGACAATCCAGTGATTAATAGCATGAACATCGATCCACGCAATTGGGATCGATGACACACATCAACCAAGTCAGGGAGCCTGACCACCCGATCCCGTTAGTCGCCTTTTACGACAAGCATAGTCGCCTTTTAGGGCAAGCATGGGTTGCTGAAGACCTATTCTACCCCGGATCTTCACGGGTCCACACATGCACGTCGTTATGTAAGTGCAATAATCCAGAACGCGATGTTGAACCCCATTTCACCTCACCTCACCCCACCTTTTGTTCGCACTGTTTTATCGCAGTGGCGTGACTTTGCAAGTTGACGTGTCAACTAGTGCGTATGGATAGGCGAAAGGTTGTTTTTGTTTTCAATTGTGGACATTCCATGATGTTATAGAAGCCTATTCACAAAACCTTGAGTCAAATGAGCAAATTGTTTCACTGTGACCAGTCAGTAATATAAGCAGGAGTCTGTGACCTTTGGACAATTGGCAAACCTGAGGAACGTGCAGTGATCAAGTAATTGCAGAAAACGGGTTTAACACCAAAAGCCACCCATGAAGATATGAGTACAACACCAGAGGAGGATGCTACTTCCTATGCCATCATTAAGAGGTGAGCTGTAGAGTTTAAGCGTGGCAGGGAGAGCCTTGAAGACGACCCCTGTCCTGGAACGCCTGTCACGTCAGCAACACCAGAAATTATCCACAGAATCTACTATATGATTATCACCGACCGACGAATGAGTGAGCATCATATTGCTAGTTTAGTTGTCATTTCCCAGGAGAGTACATTCCATTATCACAGAAACTAGAGGCAATGAAGACATATCAGCTCGTTGGATTCCAAAGCACCTCACGTCTGATAAAAAATACACCCGGCACAACACGTCTCGTGATAATCTAGCTCTGTTTGAAGCTGATTCAGAAAGATTTTTGCAACGATTTGTGAATATGGATGAAACCTTAAACAGAGTCCAAACAACAACATGCAAGTACTTAATCACTGCACGTTCACTCAGTCCATTTTCCAAATGTCACAGATCCTTGCATATTTACTGACTTGTCACAGTGAAACAATTTGCTAAATTGACTCATTGTTTTGTGGATATACTTCAATGACACCATGTAATGTCCACAACAAAACGATTTCACTTTTACGCGACCCGTGAAGATCCGGGGTAAAATAGGTCTTCAGCAACCCATGCTTGCTCTAATAGACGACTATGCTTGTCGTAAGAGGCGACGAACGGGATCGGGTGGTCAGGCTCGCTGACTTGGTTGATGCATGTCATCGTATGCCATTTGCGAGGATCGATGCTCATGATGTCAGTCACTGGATTGTCTGTTTCAGACTCGATTATTAGCTGGAATATTGCTGAGTGCGGCGTAAAACAACAAACAAACACTTTTACGCAATTACTTTCTCAGAATATATCTACGGAATCCTTTTAGGGACATTTGTTTTTTCCTTGATATTTCAAGATATTAAGGATTCCCGACATGGGTACAATGTGTGAAGCCCATTTCTGGTGTCCCCCGCCGTGATATTGCTGGAATATTGCTAAAAGCGGTGTAAAATCAAACTCACTCACTCACTCACTCAAGATATTAAGTTGAAGTTTCAAGATTCTATGTTGAAATTTCAAGATAATAAGTTAAAA